ATTGACAGCCGCGGCATCACCATTAAGTGGTACACGAAGCACCCTCCCCCCCGAAACAAAGCAGTGCCGCTCACTGTGGCACTTGCTGCTGCAGGTACTACTTCCCGACCACGACGGCCAAGCTGGTCCCCTGGGAGCACGTCAAGGGGTGGGAGCTGCGCCGCCTCGACACCCTCATCCCCACCGTGGACTACAAGTCATGGGGTGCGGCTCCACATTTCCTTCTGGCCTCAGCTTCACACCACCTGACCTGCTCGTGTCGTGTGTCGTGTGTCGTGTGTCGTGTCGTGTGCGGAAGGGATGGGGATGTCGGATGTGTGGTGGGCGTGCGACATGAAGCGCTACCTGGGCGAGCGGGAGGTGCTGGTGCTGACGACCGGTAGCTGGATTCGCAAGGGCTTCTCCTGCCGCGATGCCCACACGGCCCTGCACCTCATCGCCCTCTACGCCGGGCGAGCAGCCGTCCCGCACAGCCAGGCCTCCTCTCCTGGTTAACGACTTGTGTGCTAAAATGATACAATTCTCATATAGAGGCTTCGCCAGAAGCACACGAAGTAGTAGGGAGGCCGCGCTGCATGCCCTCGACCCCGATCGCCCAGAGTACGAGGTCCTGCCGAAGCCCTCGGGCGCCGGCTCGGACGACATGGTGCCGTTGTCGTAGTACTCGCGATCCCGCCGCCGCCGCGTGCATGAAAATTGTCCAGCTGCCGATGCAGTGCAACCTTGCGACAGAGCTTGCAAGCGATATCGGCGTCCAGGTCGGCCGCGAGGAATGCCGGGTCGTAGTGGGACTTGGGCGGCTGGTATATACACGAAGTAGTTCGGAGGTGTGGTCCCCGGGGACTACACAGGTGTGGACTATCACGTGGTCCCTAAAGCCAAGAAAGTCGCTGCTGTTCACCAGCACGAACAAAACAGGCCAGCGAACAGAAAGCCCAGTGTGCGGCACTGGCAGGGGCATTGCGTCCCATCAGCCCGCTCTTGGTGCCTTCTCGCGTGATGATGGGCAAGAAGAACAGCGTAACCACAATGATGTTGCTTTTTTGGTTACCATAATGGTTCTGACATTGATCAGGAGTTGGGTAGGGTTCTCTTCTCTGCTCGTGCCTCCAAGGTGCTGGGCAAATGTTGGGGTTTTAATAAATAACAATCTAAAGTACCGTTGGCTAGACCGGACCAGCCAGTGCTGGCGACGGTCCGTGCTTCTCTTCTCTTCTTGTGGCGGGTTGCGCACCCCAGGGGTGGTCGGGGTTCAAGCGCCGTTGTGGCCGTTGAGAAGCTTCTCCTTCTCTTTCTTGGCGAGCTTGTCCTTTTCCTTCTTCTCCTTCTTGAGGGCGGCCTTGGAGGGGCTCGTCGCCAGCTTCGAAGGGGTCGTCGCGCCGGCAGCCGCCTTGGAGGGACTTGTCGTGGTGAGGCTCGCCGTCACCGTGTCCTCCGCCGTCCGACGCAGCCTCCTGCTCACTCTCTTCTCCTTCTTCTCCTTCTTGCTTCCCTTCTCTTTTCTTTTCCTTCTCCTCTCTTTCT